TATTTTTATATTAATATTTTGTAGATAAACATTTTACCTCATTAAATAAGATATCTATTCTTTTAGCGAATGTTCTTGTCTTTGAACTCAGTTCATTTTGGGAGTTGAATTGATAATTCGGGATTTCGAGTAGTTACCATTCAGTCACATCGTACTATTGTATTCCACTTACAGATCGCCATTTTATTCATTCATTTTAATATTATTTAAACCTTGAGTCACTTATTAAGCCGCAATCTACAGTAACTTGATCTAGTAGAGTAGAAGAGGTTCTGTGTAATTCCAGTGACCACATTTGCAAACAAATTTTTTTTAATTTATTTCAGATAGTTTCTTAAAAACATTACTTCAATAACTGGATGTTATATGTCATTTATTAGACTGACTCATGTGAAATACTGTTCACTTAGTGATCGATTTGGTGGTACGGAGCACCTGGTTTAAATTTACTATTACTCACTTGATCTAACCATAAAATCCTAATGAATGAATTTGTATGTCTGTGTGCGTTCCAAATGACCCATGACTAAACAAGCGATTACGAAGATACACGTTTAGTCATCAGACCTCGACTGGCAACATAAATGGCAGGAAGATATTTGCCAGGTTCAGTCCTGTTCTTTAGCCGAGAAATGGTTATTTCAAGATAATGCTAAGAAGACTGAGATTTTTCATCACTGCTGACTCAGAAAAAAATATAGTTCACATTTTGTGTAATTAGTTTCAGAAACAATAGAACCAGCAATAAACAAATTAGTAAATAAGAGCAGGTTATTTGACGAAGTAATCAGTTTTTTTTTCAACATGTATCCAAAGACTAAGATATAAATGGTCTAACCAACTTTCTTAATAACTCCGCCTGGAGTCCCTCCGGGGGCTACTGCCGGTCCCAAGCCCGGAGAAAGGAGGAGGGTTGGGCATGGGGTTAGTGTCCCCATCCCGTAGAAAACTAGCTCGCTAAAAAAACGCTAACCAGAAAAAATTACTCAAACATTTTAAACTCTGCCTTGGGAGTCAGAAGGTCTTCATTTAGAAGAACTATGACGCCTCATGATGAAAGCCGAATTCCTTCGGAAGTTACGAGGCCGATGCCCCTTCTGACAACCAGAGCAACCTTTTATTTAGGTACATGGAATGTTCGTACAATGTGGTAGACCGGGAGAGCCTTCCAAATTGCTGCAGAAATGAAGAGATACAACCTGGAGGTGCTTGGGATCAGTGAAACACACTGGACGCAAGTTGGGCAACAACGACGAACTTCAGGAGAGCTTCTGTTATACTCCGGCCATGAAGAAGAAAATGCACCACATACACAAGGAGTTGCATTGATGCTGTCCAAACAAGCACAAAATGCACTTATAGGATGGGAATCTCATGGACCAAGGATCATCAAAGCCTCCTTCAAAACAAAGAAAGAGGGAATTTCAATGAACATCATCCAATGCTATGCGCCTACCAACGACCACAATGAAGACGCTAAAGATCAATTCTACGATAGGCTGCAGTCAATCATCGAGAAGTGTCCAACAAAGGACCTCACCATTCTGATAGGAGACTTCAATGCCAAGGTTGGAACAGACAACACTGGATATGAAGACATCATGGGACGACACGGACTGGGAGAAAGGAACGAAAATGGTGAGAGATTTGCAAACCTATGTGCCTTCAATAAACTGGTCGTAGGCGGCACCATATTCCCACATAAACGGATTCACAAAACCACATGGACGTCACCAGATCACTCTACACTAAACCAAATCGACCATATCTGCATCAACAAAACGTTCAAGAGGACGATGGAAGACGTGAGAACCAAGAGAGGAACTGATATAGCATCAGATCATCACTTGCTGGTCGCCAAGATGAAATTGAAACTAAAGAAGCACTGGACAATGGGGCGGACAATATCACAAAAGTTCAATACGGCCTTTCTTCGGGATACTGACAAACTCAACAAATTCAAGATAGTCCTCAGCAATAAGTTCCAGGCCTTTCATGATCTACTCAATGGAGAAGGAACTACTATGGAGAGCAACTGGAAGGGGATCAAAGAAGTAATCACTTCAACATGTCATGAGGTTCTGGGCCACAAGAAGCACCATAACAAGGAATGGATCACTGTTGATACACTGGATAAGATTCAAGAAAGGAGGAAAAAGAAGGCAGCAATCAATACCAGCCGAACAAGAGCAGAAAAAGCCAAGGCACAAGCTGAATACACAGAAGTAAACAAACAAGTGAAGAGGAGCATCAGAACCGACAAACGTAAATATGTGGAAGATCTAGCAAAGACGGCGGGAAAGGCTGCAAGGGAAGGAAACATGAGACAACTGTATGACACAACAAAGGAACTCTCTGGAAATTACCGTAAACCAGAACGACTATTGAAAAGCAAGGAAGGCGAGATAATCACCAACATTGAAGAGCAATGAAACAGGTGGGTAGAACACTTCAAAGAACTCTTGAATCGAACAGCCCCACTGAACCCACCCAACATCGAAGCAGCACCCACGGACCTCCCAATCGATGTTGGCCTACCAACAGTTGAAGAGATAAGCATGGCCATCAGACAAATCAAGAGTGGCAAAGCAGCAGGACCAGACAACATTCCAGCAGAGGCACTAAAAGTAGACGTAGCGACAAGTGCAAGGATACTCCACATTCTCTTCAATAAGATTTGGGATGAGGAACAAGTACCAACAGACTGGAAAGAAGGACTTTTGGTCAAAATACCAAAGAAAGGCGATCTCAGCAACTGTGATAACTACAGGGGCATCACTCTTCTCTCAATACCAGGAAATGTCTCCAACAGGGTATTGTTAAACTGGATGAAGGACTGCGTAGACGCCCAACTTCGCGACCAACAGGCAGGATTCCGTAAGGATAGATCGTGTACAGACCAAATCGCAACTCTACGGATCATTGTGGAACAATCAATTGAATGGAATTCATCACTCTACATCAACTTCATTGACTACGAAAAAGCATTTGATAGCGTGGACAGGACAACACTATGGAAACTTCTTTGACACTACGGCGTGCCTCAGAAGATAGTCAATATCATACAGAATTTATGCGATGGATCAAACTGCAAAATCATGCATGTAGGACAGTTGACAAAGTCATTTGAAGTGAATACCGGTGTTAGGCAAGGTTGCTTACTCTCACCCTTTCTCTTTCTCCTGGTGATCGATTGGATAATGAAGACGTCAACATCTGAAGGGAAACGCGGGATACAATGGACATCTAGGATGCAGTTGGACGATCTAGACTTCGCAGATGATCTGGCCCTTCTAACCCAAACGCAACAACAAATGCAGGAGAAGACGACCAGTGTAGCAGCAATAGGTCTCAATATACACAAAGGGAAGAGCAAGATTCTCCGATACAACACAGAATGCACCAATCCAGTCACAATTGACGGAGAAGATTTGGAAGATGTAAAAACCTTTACATATTTGGGCAGCATCATTCATGAACACTGTGGGTCTGATGCAGATGTGAAAGCGCGGATCAGCAAAGCAAGAGCAGTATATTTACAACTGAAGAACATCTGGAACTCAAAGCAACTGTCAACCAACACCAAGGTCAGGATTTTCAATACAAATGTCAAGACAGTTCTACTGTATGGGGCAAAAACCTGGAGAACTACAAAAGCCATCATCCAGACGATATAGGTGTTTATTAACAGTTGCCTACGCAAAATACTTCGGATTTGTTGGCCGGACACTATTAGCAACAACCAACTGTGGGAGAGAACAAACCAGATCCCAGCGGAGGAGGAAATCAGGAAGAAGCGCTGGAAGTGGATAGGACACACATTGAGGAAAACACCCAACTGCGTCACAAGACAAGCCCTCACATGGAATCCTGAAGGCCAAAGGAAAAGAGGAAGACCAAAGAACACATTACGCCGGGAAATGGAGATAGACATGAGAAGAATGAACAAGAATTGGATGGAATTAGAAAAGAAAGCCCAGGACAGAGTGGGTTGGAGAGTGCTGGTCTGTGGCCTATGCTCCATTAGGAGTAACAAGCGTAAGTAACTTTCTTAATAAACGAGAAGCAGAAAAAGTCTATTAATCTTACACATCTAGTCAACGGAGAGAAAGCTATTATTTCTAGCTGTTTGAACTTGAGCGAGAACGTTTTCACTTAATCATCCATACTATGATTAAAAATCATTCGTCGTAATAGACATTTCGAAAATATATTCTCTCGATATTAAATGATTTTATGGAATACAGGCTTTCTTTAGATGTGATGCACTCAGATTAGTTTCCAACCAGAAACAATTAATAATGAAATCATCATGTAGTCAGATTGTTCTGGTTATGATGTTTTCACTTGATTTACAGGGAATTTAAACACCCAAATCAACAGTTGGTAAACACATATTGGTGACCGGGCTATAAGGTTAACTAATACGTAGAAAGCCTAACACAAATACGAAGTTAAGGTATGATTATCTAAATTTATTGAATAATTTGTAAAGAAAAGGTAGGTACATGTGCTTAAACTGACATCAAGAATATAAGCAGTATGATAACACTAGCACAAAATTTGAAGTCTTAATAGTAATGTTATGCAAAAGGAAAGACACAGGAAACACTGTTTAGAACACTAGCTTGAAAACAAACTGTTGAGCTAAATATCTATGGAATCACTTTACAAAGAATGGCAAAACTTTTTTGCTGAGTGTAGATATATGTACTCAGCTTTGAGCCACAAACAACAAAAATAGTATGGTTTACTAGAATTTACTCAGTGACCTCGAAGACGAGTACATAAGTCAGATCAAACACAGATAATGAAATCTCGTTTACTGAATAAACACCAAATGTGTGAACGGTTACCAAAGTCCTACGATTTTCCTGAACTTAAAATCCAATGGCATTATTTTTCATAGAAAGAGTTTTTATACAAAACGAAGTATTGCACACGTATACAATAAAATAGTGAATACATAAGATAGATTGTGCAGTGCTAAAATTACAATTCTAATTAGAACAAACTCTTTGAAGTTGCTTTGTCGGACTAATCGTCACTGCCTCATCATCATCTACCTCTAACCTTCTCCGACGTTCGTGGGGAGCAAACAAAACAGTATGTCTTTGTGCAGGCGGCTTATCAACTAAATAACCGGAATGTGGTGTACGGACTGGTTTCATTCCTTCCCAAGGGTCTGATAAACTGGATGCAATCCAATTCTTGAATGGACGGTTATTCTCATTGAATTTTCTGCTACTATTTCGTGGTGATCTTGAACTAATATCAAATGCTGAAGAATTATGCTGAGAATTGCCATACTTCCAACTCGAGTCGTCTTGAGTCGATATCAAAGAACTACTAGAAATTGAACCAGAGTGGATATTCATAGATGGATTGCAGTTAGACACAAATGGTGAGTGTGAGGCATATGAGTTCGCGGGAGAATCAAAGGTTCGGTGATAAGATGGTTGGTTGAAATTCGGCGAACCATAACGTGCGGGGGGACTGTCAACATAATAAGATGGACAACCTACGGGTGGACTCCAACAAACTAAAGAGTCTTGTGGACATCGAGGAAATCTCCCGCTGCCAAATGGAGGTGTTGAAGTGATTGGTGATCTGTGAAATTATATAAAAAATTGAAAATTATTTTGATGATAAAAAAGCTGAAATATATGCAGCTACTATGAATGGTTAGCCTGATGCAATTCTATGGTCAAATATGGGCTCTTTTTATTCGTCTTTAAGCAGTGGAAATTACTTGGCGAATCAAGGTTTATGTACTCAACTTTGAGCTTCATTGTTCGGATAAGGGATGATGATATCACTAAGCTGCACAAATAGAAGGTAAAGGAGGACTTGGACCTATGATCTACTGACTGAATGGCAAGTCCTTTAACTACTAAGTAACACTATCCAAGAATTCGGACCAAAAAAGATAGTGAGCTCCAAACATACAACCTAATAATTGAAAGCCATCTGTCTTAACTGACCAGAATTTATTCAGGATCAAGGGCTTTATTACCCAGGTTGGTCATAACGAGTACAGCAGTTGAAAGCGTTTACCAGTTTACTTATCTTGAAAGTCCCAGCAACTCTTGTGGGTCAATATCTGACGAAATCTCCACGGATTTAGAAAGTTTAGCTTTTTTCAGCTCAAATTACTTGTAGAGTGAGCCATACGTTTATTTGTCAACTAATAAGTAATAATACTGAGTGATAAATCACTCTGTTTTACTTTGTCGATGAGAAACTTGACCTCTAAAATCAGAAGACAGTAATGGGTCGTGATTTATTGATCATATATCTTAATAATATTGTTCATGTATCGTGAAAAAATCGAGAAAGCAGTACTAGGGTTGGGTGTAGGACACTAGTCAAAGACTGGGAACCAGTTGAGGGGATTATAAGTCTTCATGTGTTACGACGGCTAAGGGATGTGTTACGTATGCTTAACCACCACCTACTTTAGACAAGTAATGCTGGCCAGAATAGTTTAGAATTTAGGGGCAACCAGGCCAAGACATAAGATCAGTGACTTGGAATGAACCGTACAGGTAGACGAAAACTACCCGTTTAAGGCAATCGTCACTTGTCCACTATACATGGTATACCATACCCAAAACTTCTGGAATACAAGAGAATTAAGGTGACTAACCCTTGTTTTATTACAGATTTCAACAGTATTGAGCCCATCCAAAGTATAAATAACAATTTAGTGGCTTCTGACCTAAAGGACAGCAACTCTATAGATGGACACTTAAGAAAATGGGTCTCCAAAAATAGTTCCTACTTAGATATTTCACATCAGCCAAACGATACCTATTACTGAAAACTGAAGTCATTTTGAGGAAGTTACTCCTGAGAGTGAATCCACAAAAAAAAAACTGAATGGAAACAACGAAACTGTCAACCATGATAGGTAGAGATAGTCAATATACAAGTTCAATACAAGCTCCAAGCAAGCTAACATTAATCAAGTAAAAGGCTCCCACTAAGTGTACCCACTAAGTATATCTTCAGCAGACACCTCTATCTACTGTGAAGTACTTCTTTCGTCAAGAAATACCATGTGGGACCTTTTCCTACCCACTTCACAAAAAGGTGGTCGAACATCATACAAGAGACGGAACCCACGGACAAAGGAACAGTCTTGCACCCAACAATAAACTCGACGTTTACTGAGTTTGGCCCCACATGATCGCTCTTGGTCCCTCGTCATTGCTAACTAGGTTAATTTCTAACTGGATAGTTATTTCAAGCCCATTATGGGTCTAAACAATCACTCTTGTCCGACGACGTAAATAAAGATGCAACAGACAATCCAGTTAGTCAATAAGGATTTTAAAAATGACTAGAACCTGAGCAAAATATAATATGAAATCACAATTTATCTGAAACTTATACGCCGAGTCAGACAGGAAAAGCTGGAATTTAGAGTACCTAATTACCTAGAGTGACTGTTAAACCTTCCCCTGTATAAAGGATCCCTATTTGGGCTAGGAGTGCAGGGGTTCCAGTGATATCTATGCGGAGAACCTCTGCCGTTGTACATGCCTGTACCGTCACGGCCAATGAGGGCGCGTAAATCATTTAGCTTTCCTCTGGTTCTTCTACGTGACAATGATAATAAGTTTAGTTTAACCGATGGAACATTATATAGGAGCTTTTCTATACCGGGAATCAGCTTAGTTGCAGTTCTTTGGAGCTCTTCAAAAGCTCATTCTCTCTTTCTAGACTAGCCGCTTGTAAGCAGTACTCGAGTTTAGGACTCACGAAAACTTTATACAAAGTCAAAAAGTTTTTGGCATCGAAATGTCTAAAGGCCCTACGCATTAACCGTAAGGTTTTAAAGCTTTTAGCGGTTATTGAACGTCAGTATGCAGTAGTTTTTTAGTTTTGGCTAACAATGACTCTGTAGCGGTAAATAAATCCCCAAAATAAATAGCTCTGTAAGTTTTAGACATTGGATGCTGACCGCATGTTTTAATGGACTCGCCTAGCTGAAGGCGTTTGGTCATGCATCCGCACCAGATCACGAGTGGGAACGCCGTGCTCAACATTTACTGCAATCGCTAGCCAGATTAGATCAGACGATTCTCGATATATTGATAGTCATCAAATATATCTTCCAATCTCCCAGATTCTGTCTTTTGATTTATCTTGGTGGGTACGAGTTATATTAGGTGTTACTGGTTAAAGCGTTGTCAAACACTGAATACCTGTGCCATCTTCAACTCCTAAGTCATTGTGTGTGTGGACAAAAGGTAACCTAATGTTATTTACTCTATATGTATCTGTACCTCGATAACCAGTGTGCATCACAATACATTTGGATGCACTTTTCTATAACTGCCAAATTTGAGACCATTCAGATAATTTCTCCAGGTCAGTTAGAAACAACAAATTATCACCTTTACTTTTTATTGCTCTCCATAACTTGATATCTTCAGTATATAACAAAACTGGTGATTATAGGGGAATGAGAAGGTCATTTACACACAAGAGAAACAACACTAGCTCCAAAACTGTACTCTGAAATACTCTGATAAGCACAGTTTTCCAGCTAGACAACTTGGAGTCCAATTGTACTCTGTGTTGGAGTCCAACTAGGAAGTCTCTTATCAATAACAATGAATTCTCTCCAACCCCGCTATTTATTTACTTCTATAATAGCCTGTTGTGAGGAGCTTTGTTAAAAGCTTTGCTGAAGTCAATGTAGACTACGTTTATAGGTAACTTTTCGTCTTTAAGAGCGCACCAGATTTTACGGGTTACTAATAAGTTAGTAAGACACAAATAACCTGTTCTAAAGCCGTGCTGCTTTTCAGAAAGAACTCAGTTTTCGTCGAGATACGTAACTTCTTCCGAACAATCTTTTCTAAAATTTTAACAGCCATGCTATTTAGACTAGCTTATGTTTCGTACCTCTTTTGAAGACAAGACTTACTACAGCGTCCTTCCAGTCTTTTGACAATCGAACCTGGGATACGGATAGACTAAAACGTTACTAGTTATTTTGATAACCTAGGATGTATTTCATCGGGTGCCATGGATCTGTCTATATCAAACTTCTTTAGCAGAGCAAAGACATCGAATTCTTTAATGGTCACCGCGTCCAACATGTGTGGAGGGTTTGCATGATTTGGGGGAGAGGACATCTCTAGGGTAATTACATTGTCAAAGTAGTTTGAGAATACCCGAGTTCTACCATAATCATCCTCCGCTAATGATAAAGTACTACTGTCTCTCCACAATGCTGGAATATTTCCCCTTCCCTTAGTCTTTTGATTTATGTACGAATATAAGCGTTTAGGGCATTCTATAGATTTCTCAACATGTTTTTCTTTGAGTAATCTTCTAGGCTTGAGGGAGTTGAGGGACAAATATTTCGGGCTTCTCGGTGTTGAATTTTTTTGTCAGTACCCAGCCATCTAAACCTCTCTCACATTCTCTTCATCTTACGGAGAAAAGTGTGAACTTCCCTACCGAACCTTGATGAAGAGTTTCTCGGACCCCTTGGTGTAGTCCAAGAGATGTGTGGAGCAGTGACTTTTAAATGCAAATTTCCAAATACATTACGAGTTGTTTCAAATGAGGACTCTGGCTTTACTGTACAATCTACGAGTATGTTGAGTGTATGTGCATTGAAGTCTCCAAGGACTAAACATCGACCACTTTGTGACCAAGTATTGAGACTTTCTAGCAAGACCTCATCCACCACACTGCTTGGACTGAGGCAGACCAAATCATTCAGCAGTTCTTGTTCTTTGCATTTCAAGCGGAAGTATTTAATTCACATGCCCCACTCTCTTGCGATACGTTATCAATAATGGTAATTGGCATAGTATTTCTAATGAATAGAGCTACTATTCCTCTCTTTCTCCTCTGAATCCTGTTGACATTGGCCAAAGTGAAACCTCAAAGTCAATTCGTCTATAAACTACATCAAGTTTCTGTGACTTCGATTACATTCGGCTTGGTAGAGTCTTCCTGCACTCCTATGTCCGATCGCTTATTGTGCAAGCTCCGAGCATTTGTGTAGCAGATCCGAAGCCCGTTTAAATGGCTTCATGCACCATCTAAAGTGGCTTCGGCATCATCCTCTGTCGAGAACTTCGTAGTACAATGGTGTGCTACTTATATTGACATAAGTAGTATGTGGTGTTAGTCGTGAACTGAAGCAGAGAGACAAGAGGATCGAACAGTAAAGATCGGAAACAGAATGCAATTTGTATGAAAATACAAGAACAACGAAGTCTGGGTCACCTTGGGACAATTGAAATACATTTTGCAAATTGAGCATTAACTATGTGGTTGTTAGATTTTATTAACAAATTCTGTAATTTTGTGTTAAATACATTCGGTTGTCCCCACTCGTGTTCTTGTTCACTACAGTACCATCCTTTGCACTAATCGCACTGTATGCCACTTACCACAGGGTCTATACAGAGCGGGCGTTGGCACTTGCGCTTTCTGCACAGTCTAATCATCAATTGGAGGTTTTCAAAAGAAACTAGGCACAAACATTACCCAGAAACAAGAGAAGCTAATAACCAGAATAAGTGGAAAACTGCGGATTACTAGAAACGAAGTGAAAACAAGTACAAAGAGCAGATGTACTTTAAAGTAGTGATGATAATTTGCTTAAGAAAAAACGATACTCTTGGCAGGTTTTTCAAGTGAAATAAACTCAGTTAAAGTGATACAGTTGTTTTGGTACTCAATTTACGATCAAAACAATAAAATTAACTTTCTGAGGAAAAGTGCCACTATCTTTTTAACAAAGCTCTCCTCGATGGTAAGGACGGGAGTTTAAAAATAACTTTCATTCGTTGCTAACGGGACGGAAGATCGGCACAAAGATATTGGAGATATTGCTACGTTGTTCAACCTATCCCCAGTAACAACTAACCAGCTTAGAACATGTACTTCACGACACGTTGACCACCTTCCAAATGTATCTTCAAACTCCACTACTGAATTCCAATCCAACTGGCTTTGCAACCTTCGATTATGAAGATGTTACGTACATAAGGGTTGTCGAGCATCGAATATTGGTGAAATCTTTAGTGGTGAGCTCAACGTGGTCTAGTGCATCAAACTAGTGAGTGAGTCTGTTTCTTGTCGCAACATTAGATGTATTTTTTCAAATCATGATATTACTATTGCGTTTCCAGATGTTTTATTCATGCTGATAAATTTTATTCTTATTATGTTAGAAAGCATATCTATACTGTTCAAGTTTCAGACTCTCATGCCCACCACCTTGAAACTCATGCCAACGTAGTCCTACTGAACTACATGTCTGCATTTACATTAACTTGCTCGAGATTTTGTGGTCCATGAAGTATGTTGTAAATTGGTCGATATCACACTGCTCATATTAGTAATTCTGACATAGAAAATTAAATAAGGAAAGCCTCGTTCTGAAGGATATCAATTCACGCTAACTGTGACAAAAATGCCTTTAGAGCAAACCATGCACTGGTAACATTGAAGCAAATTTTTGGCCAGTTTGACGGAAAAACTTTCCATGTAATCTTCAACAGTTTTTTTCGTCCTCATTTAGAGTACGGAAACATAGTATTTCCTCCCTCACTCCAATAGGATAATGACACTCTGGAACGTATCCAACGGCGAGCCACGAAATCAGTTCGGGGATTCAGAGTCAAGCCTTATGAAGAGCGCTTTCAATCACTAAACTTTTACCCATTAGAGTATAGGCATCTGAGAGGCGACCATCTAATGGCTGACAGTATCCCTAACACTTTTGGATATCTACTTAAACACCTACGTATGTTTAGCTCCAACACAAACCTAAGGGGTAACACCTAGAAACTGGAGACACAACATAGCAGAATGGACTGTAGACACAACTCCTACTCCTTAAGAGTTGTCAAGTGCTGGACTTCGCTGCCTGCTGGGCTAGTCCCAGTGACTTCCCAGGAGCCCTTTTAGAGGAAACTTGACCTATTTCTAAGGACTAAGGATAATATCTTACTATCACTTACCAACTTCTTTTTCCCCTATTATCATCAATGTACCTAGGTTCCTGCCTGGAGGCATTGGTGATCCACTGCTACTAGACACGGAAGCTCTATAGCGAAAGATTCTTCTGTTCCGTCCACAACCATTTAAACCATTTATGTAAGGAAATAAGTGATTAGTACTAATATGTGAGAGTCTGTAGAGGAATTAGTTTCTAACTACGCGATCTTTGAAGCCGAGGGCATCATTACTGAGATTTCCATTCAATATGTAACGCTTGGAGAAGGTTAAACATGGTGAACGCAGAGAACAAATTGTTTGGGATGGCACAGCTTGGCCTTCAAGGCGTGGCCATTCACCACGACCAATCCCTATTCACATTAGATATATTGATCTACCTCCAGCCTAAATGTGTCCTTCAGAAGTGCTGAACATCATATCACCGATTTTCACGGTACGATGAGTCGGTACTGACAGCGATGTGACTTCCATGTGGGATCTTAAACATAAGTTAGTCACTTCATAACAAATCTACATTTTGGGTGTTAGGTATTTTATTATAGT